TTTCTAGCAGTTTCCATTTGAAACATTTAACACTTCGACTTCCGACTCTTATGCTGTGCAAGTAGAATCACAGTCTGTTGTGACCAGCCGGAAAGTATCTCGATTTCATTTAGATTTTGTTAGATAATATCCTTCCTGTTGAAAGGTTAGCCGAAGAGCCTGGCTTGTCCATGGCCCCCACATGTCGCCAATACTTTCTGCGCACAGCTGTATGCTACGATGTCGTCCGAATGGAAAGAAACGCTCCAGCGCTGAAAGTATTCCACGCGGCGCCTCCTCTGCAATGGAAATACCATGCGGGAAGGACTTGGCTTCCATTTGGCGCAGAAGAGAAACTAAATACTCTTATTTTTTAAATTATTATTATTTGATTCAATTTCATTTTGTTTTACTTAAACATTTATTTTAATTATGTGCCCGGGTTTCTTCTTCGCCACTTACGGCCAAGGCATTTATCAGCATACGAACATATGTATTTAGTACGTATGTATAACAATTTATGGTAATTCAACGCACAATGACTGTGTGGCCTCCGCTATTGGAAACCGCTTACTTATTTACATTGTTGACAAACACGGAAAGAGAAAACAAGATCCGCCATTGCAATGCGAAGTTTTCCAAATGTTTCACTAACTGGTTTTCACTTACCCGGTTGCTTCATCATCGCTTTTTTATGAATTTACTTTTGTTTCTTTTTCATTATTGATGGCAATGAAATAAGTGCACTTATGGTAAAGTTTTTATAGATCAATGAACATCATTGATACATTTTTTGGAAGTAGATTGCCATAGAATGTCTTTGCGGGAATCAGCAGAATTTTCGCATTTTGCTCCACAAGATCTCTTTTAATACAATTTAACATTTTTGTTCAGTAAATGAGTGTAGTGTCAAAAAATCGAATTAAATAACGAAAGTGGAGTTATTAAAGTAATTGGAGCATAGAGCTTAGCGTGGTCCTTAAATCTAGGAAGCAAATTTTAACATCATATTTGCTATATGTGATATCTTTGACTACAGTATTTAGTATCGAGTTTGGGTATTAGATGAAAAAAAAAATTGTTTTTATTTTTTTAGTTTAGTTTTTTAGTTTAGTTAGGGACCAAATTTTATATGTAATATCTCCGACCGTTCTATTACCGATTGAGGAGGTGAGCCTGAAAAAGATCCTTCATTTGATTTTTAAGGACCACCCTAATAGACATATTCTGATAGGCAGACTGTGCTATTAACAAGACCATATGCATGAGTAGTATCAAAGTTCATCAAAAGTTTACAAATTTTTTTAATCCATCGATCATTATTTCTGCATACATTCTGTATGCATGTCCTATGGGAGCATCCCTCGGTCCAGAAATGCATTAAGCCAAAGCATCGGTCTCTTTTATTTCTGAACTATAATTTGTGAAAATGCCAGGAGTATTTCAAATTGCAGGAATAGCCACTGGTTTTCTGCTACAGGCAGGTTTTCTGCAATAAAACACGCAAAACTGTAGAATATATGCACATACATAAATTTATTTCAGGTCCAAATATTGAGAGACGCAATGGAAAGACTGACAATTATAGCAAAACGGGATCCGCCTGTTACTTTAAATTCTAAATTAAGTTAACCCAGTAGAACATTTGTAACTGCTCCTTGTGTAACCCAGCAGAAAAAAATATTTCTGGATTAGTTCATAAATAAAATGTAATGAAAATGATTTTTAATTTCCAACCTAACCTATTTATGTACATATGTAACTGAATCCTCCAATGCATTGCCAATCCATATACATACAGATGTTTACCATTCAAATTTTCTGAATACTATATGGTGCTCGTGCCTTTTTACTTGCCATGCAGCCTATAGATGTAGATCCATTGTGCTGATCCTATAAAAGTTCACTCCAATTTTGGGCTTTATATGAAATTAAGCACAAGAGGATATCATGTTTCAGTTTCTCGATGGAGACGATAATCGCTCTACCTGCAGTCCATATCTGTAGAATTTCTCAAGTTGGTATCTTAACTTTGAGTGTTCTGTCAGATCTCGTTAGTAAGATTCGAAAGTTACTTGGAGTAACCTCAAGAAATAGCTACAAATTTATTTTGCCATCTGCCGACAAACTGAGAATTCTCCCACCCGTGTAGCCGTTTTGTTGTCATCAAAACCCTTATGCCCCAATATCCACAAGAAACGTAAACACCAGAGCTTAAAAATAAACCGCAATATTAAAAAGATAAGCATTGGTGCAAGATGAAGGTGACGTGAGTTTGAGATAAGATCATAAATTTACAAAAAGCACGCAGAAAAAAATGAGCTGAAAGAAGGAAATTAAAAAATAGGCATAAAAGATGTAAAAAAAATGCAACAAGGGAGATAAACAATCAGAAAGAATACACATATGTACATATGATGGAGCTTTTAAAGATAACAATCCACGTCCAATTTTATAAGCGTTAAATATTAAATAGAAAAGGTACAAATAAAGGCAAAATCACAAATGAGCTCACAATAACATCCGTTTGCTGCATTCAGACTAACATACATATCGTCGTCTAAAGTACAAAACCTCGTATCGTCGTTCTGAAAAATCGCGTAGCTGATGTTTTTTACCAAAAATTAGATTTGCTCACACAAGCTCTTGGCTCAATCCTTATCCTTTCGACCTGAAATATACTATCCAGAAATGCGATTTCCCTCTAAAAAAGGGGACCATTTTGATATTCCCTTTCTCATTATCATTACCACTACCATTATCATGACATTTTCATTATAATTACAAGCAATATCATTATCATTACCATAGCCATTACCATTTCTATTAATCATTACCATTTCTGCTACCTTTACTAGTATCATAATCATTATAATTACTACTACGATTACCATTGTCTTTTCCACCACCACTACCATCACCACCACCATCATGATTATCCTTACCCTTACTATTACTCTTACCATTACCACTACCATTACTAATTCCAGTACCATTATCATTAACCTTACCGCTATCATTACCATTACCACACAATGCCATTATCACGCTCTTGTTTTTGAATACACACATATTCATGTACATACATATCGACACCTCCAAACCGTTCCATGTCACCTTAGACTTAGTATAGTATGGTTTGTATGGTTTGGAGGCGTCGATATGTACATACATACATACTCTTTAAATTTTCATCAAGTTCTTGGCGAAGCCTCAGGTCCCGCCTATCTATGGAATGTGCAATAAAAGTAAAATAAATTTTTTGTTACCATCTCTAGACGGCACGTGAGCAACAAACAAAATATCAAAATAACTATCATCGTCAACAACAATCAGCGAACGCGGTAAAGAATGAGCGCGCAGCAATAACAGTAAAAACATACATATTTAAAAAATATTATTTATACTTATGTACATACATAGTAGTGCATCCTACAACAATACTTTATTGTACAGGTACAAATATAGTGTTGCCAGATATTATTTTCAAAAAACTGAATGTAGTTTTTTTTTAGAACATCAAGGGAGTTGGTTGTACATAAAAATAATAAATTTAAAATAAAATAACAGTAACCGTTTTAATAATTTGTTATTTTTTTATTTATTTATTTCTCATTATTTGTGGCTACTGGTATGCAAAGAGCAGCTCAAACTCCTTTTCTCAAAGAGAAAACGCTGCACCTGCAGCGCCTCATACAACCTTAAAAGTTTAGTTCCAAAAAACGAGAAAAAATATTTTAATTTATTTGTGCAAATCTGAAGGTTTGAAAAAACTATGGGCAATATTCATAGTTGAAATAAAGTCGATTCTAAGGTTAATAATAATGCTAATAGATTGGCGCTTACCCATATGTATTTAACCGATTTGTGGCATGCGCCTTGATGTTGTCATACAAAGCGGAGGGAACTACACTTTTACGCCGACTCCGAAGAAGCTGTTTTTCATGGCAGAAATACACTCGACGGTTCGCCATTGCCTGCCCAGGGACGAACGCTGTTAAGAAAATCCCATTTTTCCTCTATTTTTTGCGATGTTGCATTGACAAGAGCTTGAACACAGGCCCTGCGGAGTGGAAGCGCGCACTGGTGTAAGCTCCTTTAAAAAACTATAACTATCAGTTAAGATCGTGAATGTGGCAACACTGGTACAAAGTCATTGTGGTCTCAGCAGTTGCAGCTGCAGCAAACTTTTCATCAACTGCTGCCTGCCACCTTGGGTTAGAACTGAACTTTGCATGTTAACAATTCAAATAAATCTTAACATAACATACATAACTACTTGGACACTTGACAGTACTGGCAGCATAGAGACTAGGTTATTCTAACCAAGCTTCGCTGCCATTGTAACTCGCTGCTGTATTTTAAAGTTACCTTCATTTTCTTAGAAAAAATCTACGAATATCATCACCATTGTTTGTCTATTGGATACGCCGCAGATGTGCCTGAGCAGACGCCAATGCAGCTGGAAGCTAAGAAAATGAGTACCACTTAGATTTCTTAATTGAATGCTTGATTGTGGGCACTTAAGCGAAGTGCAGAACAGTAGACCCAGCATGTGAGGTGAAGTAAAAATTTGCCTAAAGTTAGGAGAAGAGCAGGAGCTTGGAAATTGTTTGGCAGCTTGATGATAAACTTCACATTGCTGCTGATTGTTGAGAAGAAGCGAAGCGACGAAATTAGTGCTATGGTGAAGCGATGAACAAAAGCCATAGCTGATGATTATGTGGTAAAACTGCAGCTCTAAAATGAGAGGAGAGCAAAGAGAAAACGCGTTGTTTTTTACAAAGTTATTTTTTTTTGTGCAACGGTGATTACCATCAATGGTCAGTTTGTTGTAGGCACGCAAACGAAGATAAAGAAGATTTCGATGATGACGCGCATGATGAGGATGAATGTTATGTTGTGATGCTTTTGTATGCACAGCATTTTGTATTGTTTGGATTGTTTTATTTTTTTTTACTTTAGTAATTTTCTTTTTTTTTGTTGCTCATCTCCGCTCAGTATTGCGTGGTGGCGGTGAATGCATAATTAAGTGCGATAACTGCAAACATTGCGGAAGTATATTAACTAATAAGCAGAAATGTGCAGTGAGATCAGGCAGTTGGGAGGCGATATACATATGTGTGCCTGTATGTGTCTATAAAAAAAAATTAAATTATGATTATGTAAACACCAATGTACATACATATGTAACAAGAATCAGGCTGATATCTTGAATTCATTAAGCATAAAAAATGTATTTGTGTATTCCAACATATTCTGTAATTATTTGCACGTATCTAAGCGCGTTGTTAGGCATAACTTCATTCACTAATTGATTTTAATTAGCAATTACCGTTATGTAACCTGTAGGCAACTTTTCTTTGATACCATTTTATGCTATTATGCTAACAAAGAATTCAAGAATTCCAAAAGTCTCTGTTGGCAGTTATGTATAATTGTGAATTACATATTGAAGAACTCTGCCTATCTAGGATCCGGCACCACTAATAACGCCGGCCTGGAGATCAAGCGAAGGATAACTCTTGCCCATAACAACACCTAGGCTCAGTAGGCAATTCAAAGGCACAACTCCTCTCGATGGAAAAAATATCACTCTCAAAAAAATCGCCCATCGTAAAAAGATAGACGATGTCCTGTTCGCGCGGCCGATAGGTACCGACCGAAGAAGATCTAATGACGAACTGTACGAGCTACATATATAATAGTTATTTTATGTTGAAAGATTTTACGACTTTAGAACACTTTAGAACGCCTAATACGTTTTAATAATTTCCTAAATGTGTTAATTAAATAAAAAATTAAGAATTCCGTAACAACAGTCATTGGAATATTTATTTTTTAAATAATAAAATATGTACCGTCTGTGACGTTCAGCAGCATTAGTGGACTTCAGTTCCTGAATCTACTATACAATATTGCAGGAGTGGAGAACCAAACCTTTAGGCATAAGACATTATAGGGACATCTTAGGATGGATCATTTTAAGTAACTCAACATGGTACGTGTTTTCTCTAGAGCTCAGGGCGGATGGTATTGAAAATGGGCAAAATCGGACAATAGCCACGCCTACCTCCCACATAACGGTAGTTTGCAGAAATACGAAAATTGTGATATTTTAGTAACTAATGAAGCTTATTCACTTAAAATTTGTATAAACAATGATCTCTTGACGGGAAATAAGAACATTATACATTTTCGTAAAATGGGCATAGCCCCGCCCACTTATGTTTATAAGCATGTATATACTCGATAACCGTTCTACCAATTTCTACCACAGTTGACATAGCTGTTGACCTTGGCACAAGTTAGCAAACGGTTGAAAATTTAAAAAATCGGAGAATAACCATGCAATATGACATATAACGGTAATTTAAAAAAATACTAAATCTGCGATAAATCAGTAACTATTGAAGCTAATTTACTCGAAACTAAATTTTGGAATAATTCTTTGGCAATAAACCTGATGACACCGCGCACTTATGACCACATATACATATGTACATACATATATATATCGGTAACCCTTCTATCAGTGTGTACCAAAATCGGTATAATTACTGTACTTAACACAAAAAGAAAATATGTTGAAAAGTTTCGCAAACGGCCTGAACTTACGCCCGCTTTTCATATAGCGGTAAAATTCTGAAGTTTGAAAATTAATGAATTTACTCAAAATAAGCTCTTAAAAATAAATAAGATTATTATTACGGAATTTTGGACAATGCGCGTGAAACCGCCCAATTACGACTACGTAACTTTTGAAAACGCTACTCGCATTACTATAAATGAAGGTCAGACATCGCTGGTAAGATGATCCAAAAGTTATGATAATCGGTTACTTGCTTGTATGTCCTCTAGGTCAGTTCATATAAATGTAACACGATTCCAGGCACTGGCATTTCTTTGAATACGAACAGTCGAAGAGTTAACATCAAAATGGAGAAAAGCGAGATTAGAGCAAATATCAAATAACTATACTTAAAGAAGTGATTACCACAGACGCACACATCGACTTGGTGGACATACTGAGAGACTCTGCTCCTCCATATTCCGCAATCGCAGTGCAGATCAACATAGCAAAATACGCCCATCCACGTCACTCAAAAATCAAAAGAAATATGTTTGGCATACAATTTGTTTAATTTAAATATAAGATTAATCGCAATATAGGCTTGCATTCGCACTAACCACTCTTTTTAGCGACCGCCAATATCTGGTGGCATGCAAATGTGCTACATAGCAAATGCCACGAAAACATTCATTTAGTCAACAACGAAAACGCATAAAAGCACTGAGGTTGATTAAAACTAGAGATGGGTACGGGACTAAATATTTATTTTTTCGATCACTACTATACATTACTTTTTCCCACTGGGTTTATTGCATGTATATGTATATGTATAAAAAAATGCTGCAACAAAAGGGTATATAAAAGTATGAATAATAAGAGGACTCTACTTGCTTGCTCGGAGTTCTCTTTCAAAGTGGCAGAGTGTTGGGCGCAGGGCTGCCAACTGTACTTAGCTAGTAAATGCCATATTGAGCAAAAAAAAGTGCCAAAATGTGCCAAATAGAAAAATAAAAGTGCCAAAAATGGTGCCATTCTTTGAATTCTTCCCATTTAGCATTAAAAGTAGAAGCACATTAGTAAAACAAAAGTAAAATGCCAAAGTAAGATAAAACAGTTGTATACACTATAGAAATTAGAAAATTTTAGTTGAGGAAAAGAAGTACACGCAAAGGATTTCCCAAAAATGTACTATATTTCAGAAGTGCCGGATCATTATCATCCATTTATTATCACCGATTCTATCCATGCAATATATGTATATTTATTCGTCCGACTATGTGCATATGTTTGGAAACCTAGTCCAGTTAGGCAACCCTGTCAACAGTTTATTTGTCACACTGTTAAATATAATTGTCAATTACATGGACAAATATAAGTGTTTTTTTTTTTAATATGTATAAGTCAGCATAAGGATTATAAGTACTTTACAATGATTTTTTATATTAAAACTTCTTGGATCTCATTTTTTTGTAGCTATCTTTAATTTGATCTATTAATTTTTAACCACATGCTCATTTTTATTATTTTAGCTCACAGACGAAGTCGTTCGTAAAAAGGCAGAATATCAAAAACATTTGGAGGGTTATAAAGCACTGCGTACACGTTTCGAGGAACACTACATAAAATGTAAGTGAAATAATTAAAAAAATATAAAATAATTTTCACTTATGAATATACGTACACTAGGGTGCCTCACCAAAAAAAAAAAGTTGCGGTTTTCCATCGCAATTATAAAATTTGGTATATTTTAAGACCTTCATCAAAATATTTTTGAAAAAATATTAAGATTTACGTGAGCTAGCTCGATTTGAAAATACCACCAAAAATCTATTTTTTTTTTTGATTTCGTTGATTTTTAAACATTTTTATACAGACTTTGTAAGCTTAAAGACTTCTATCATCTGAGCTGATTTTTTTTAGAAAAAATAGTTTTTGAGGCTAATTTTATTTGTAAAAAAACTAGATTTTTGGAAGTATATTTAAGTAAATCTTAATGTTTTTCCAAAGTATTTTGGCCGATTTCTTGAAATATAATCAATTTTATATTAGACGGAGAAGCCTTAACAATTTTTTTTATGGAGAGTGATGCACCCTACTGTACATACATACTTACGCTTTTGTATCACCAAAAATTTGTCATAACGTGCTCACAATTCAATTTTCTCAGTTCTTCTCTCCCAAATTGTTTACTTTAACCGTGGCTACCCTCAACTCGAGTTCCTACATTAGTATAGATTTCATAACCTTAGTTTTGTTTAGTACTTTTTGAAGCAATTATGGCTTAATACCGTCCCAAATTATACACATTTTTGTAGGTAAATGTTGGTTTTTCAACGAGAACGTTTTTTTTTTTTTTTATTGAAGTTTATAATAGTAACACGAAACATTTTAGTTATTTTTATCATTTTCAAATGCTGAGAAATCTATCGATTTCATTAAACACTTTTCTTCCTTCAACAACTTACAGCCGGTCGTGGTGGTCGCAAGTTGGACGATGTACGCGATAAATATCAGAAAGCCTGCCGCAAATTACATCTCACCCACAACGAATATGTACTCTCCATCACCGAAGCTGTTGAGGTGGAAAAAGATTTCCGTACAGTATTACTGCCTGGACTGCTGGAGCATCAACAATCCGTGCAAGAAAGTTTCATTCTACTCTGGAAGAATATACTGCAGGAGACCAGTCAACATGGAGATCTCACATCTGACAAATTCAAAGAAATACAAAAGCGAATTGATAATGTGATAAACAGCATAAATCCCAGTGAGGAGTATCGGGAATTCACTGAGAAACACAAGTAAAATTTAACCATCATTATTACTTATGTAGTATTAGCCTTAAATTAAATGTGAAACATTTGCAGAACCTCCCCCGCCACACCGCTTGTATTCCAATTCGATAACGCACTCATCGAGGACATACCTGGCAAACTGCAATCAAATACGCTAACAGTCGATAATCTTACCGTCGATTGGCTGCGATCGCGCCTGATTGACTTGGAACTCGCAGTGAAGGATTGCCAGGAGAAACAGCTAAAGATGATCGAGCAAGCGAATGGTGGTTCACCTATAGCGAATGGCAGCATAACGCGTAACGGTAGCACCGCTAGCAATGGCATCCAATCCCCGAAGGATAGTCAAAAGTAGGCGAGCATGTTTTTTTTTTGTAACTATAATAGTAAATAATTAGTGATTTACTTTTTAATCTTTTCTCCTAAAAATACTAAATAGTAGGCAATCAAAGGACCTCGGTTCACTGCGTTGTCAGGAAAAACAAAAACAAAAGTTGGTGGATATGATTAAGTGTGCTTTAAATGAGATTGGCTGCGAAGAGTTGCCATCTGGCTGTGATGATCATTTGGAACAAAATTTCATAGAAAATAGTTTTAATAACGATCAACAGGTGAGTAGATATTATTTGTAAGCTTACTTAATATTGCAATATCACACACAAGTCAGGTGAAGGGGCTTAAGAGTTAGTACATACATACATACATAGTGTTCAGGTTAAGGATATCTACATAGTCTTAAGTACATATACTGCTGTTGGTGGTAGGAGTGATTTTGTGCCTTTCGACTGTTACGAGTATATGTACACTTAAAAAGCACATGGTGTTTTGGAAAGCATTAATAAATAGTCACAGTGAGAGATTTTGGGTAAAAGATGTATTGAAAAGTGAAGGGGCTTTTTTGGGTTGTCGGTAATATTTGCTGGGTTGCGTTAGTTCCAACCCTATTGTGAGGTTTTATTTAACGCCTTTACATGCTTCCTTGTACAAATTTATTACTTGTGATTTTCCGAAGTAAAAATTCGGGCATGAATATTTGGATTTGAGAAAACCACTAAATGGATTATATCATGTATTTTGATGAAGGGCTTCACCACAACGTCATGAAAAATTTCGAAAAAAATTGAAAAATAGTATTTTCATTATCATCATAGAAGTTGAGAAGTGGGACATAAAATACTTGAAATGTTTTCAGTTGCGTAACGCCTTCACAAACAACTAGTTATGTAACTAAGTCTTGTCATAACGCTAAACTGAAAACAAATCCATGATCCTCAAATTGCATTTTTACGGCATGTACTTCCAAACTAAACAGCAGACTGAGTGTGTGAACACCAAAACGCGGTAGTCTAATTAAAAAGGCTAATTGACTCAATTAAATTTCTGTCTGAACTTAATATTAAGCAACCGAAGATATATTTGAAACCAGACTTAAGACATACTGGAGCTTGCTGGAGTTGCGTTGACCAGGTCCGTAAGAAAGGCCATCCGCATAGAGAATATGGATCTCAACTGTAAGCAAGCAACGGTGTGGCATGGAGGGGAGGCTATACCGTTATAGCATTTGAGGATATTTTTGCACTAACAGTAAGAGATTAATTTCCACAGGCGCTAGAGCACATTTATCTATTTTTAATTTTTTAAGCTAAAAAAGTTAGAAGTACGAAATCTGAGGATATGTTAGTCTTTAATATGTATTTTTTCAAAAACAAATATTACAAATTCTCAAGGATGTTCAAGGATAATAGATTTAAAGAACGCTCTCAATACTTATGCGTACTCTCTTTTATCTAATATCCATATTTTTATTCTACCTTTCACTAAATGTTTTATTAATTTATTGAATAAATAATAACTTTTGAAATTTCAACGCCAAATATTTGAAGGGATATACAATATGAAAGTTTCAGCTGGTATGGGAAGTGCCACGCCCCTTTTCAAAAAACACCCATTTTTCCCCATTAATATGAATTTGATTTCACATACATATCTAGTAGTCTCAGAGCTCACACCTCAGGGCTAAATTAGTAGCTTTTTCGAGACAACCATTAGTTGATTACTTCATGAACTCGCATGAGGTGTACTTTTTTGCAACCGAGCTACAAAAGAACGCTCGCTTAAATGATGAAATACGCGACTTATTTTTTAAAAACGTATATATTTTACGCAAATACCTCGAATAGTTACCCATTTAAATTGGTTTTGGTATATATATACCGTTAAACTAATCAAATGTTTCTTGCCAGCTACCAACAGGGTTGCTTAAATAGCTAAAAATAAATTTTACCCGAGTTGAGCGTTCTTTTGTCGCTCGCTTACAAAAAAAATGCAGCTATAGTAGGAAACTTTGGCAGGGAATACTTACTTTTCGATACATCTTATAAAACACATGAGCACATTTTTAGGAACAACATTTGAATACTTAGAGCAAAAATAAATAGAAAATCGAAGTTCTGAATACACTACATCTTTACTCTGGAAGTTGTACGCTTATGTTTATTTTTTTACTTAATCAACTTTCTTTCTTCCCTTTTACACTCTTATTCACTTAACAATTATTTTTTTTTAAACTACCAAAAACATCATTGCAATACAATCGAAAATTTTGCAAAACAAATCCAACCAAAACAAATGCAAAACCCATAAATCATATAACAATCTCTGAATAGCAGAACTCTGCGGCATCCACCAATTCCACTGGC